GGAAGCACAGGCAGTTGACTAAAAGTTTTCCCTCGTTTCCACTGTCATTAAGCTAAAGAATTACGTTCCCCGTCCCTCCCTTCCTCTCTCTTTCCTCTCACAGACATTCCTCAGTGCCCAGCACATGCCCAGCCAGAACCAGGGGCTCCTGAATCAGGCCCTCTTGTTTGGTGGGACAGGGAGTGTGGTGTTCAGAACGGGGGATGGTTGGGGACCCAGGGGGTGGGGAGCAGGAGCAGCTCCAGGAAGTGCAGGGACGAGGACCTGAGGCCCGGACCCCAGGGTGTGCTCCTCCTTGTCTTTAGACCGGGCTCAGGCGGGGTGAGTGACTGGAGCAGGGATGCTCGTTCTATTAATGTTAACAGAGAAATAGGTTTCCTGGGAGAGAAGGGAGGGCAGAGCCCAGGAACCGTCACTCACATCAATCACTCATTTATGTCCGCGAGCCGGGCCTGGTGCAGCAATATCCAGAGGAGCAGGACAGGACTCCCCTCGAGCTGTGGTCCGAGGGGAGAGAGGGTTGCTAGGGTTTGAGGGAGCTAATTGGTCAAGCCCTTTCCCCGAGGGCCGGGCCCCACGCAGGTGGAAGTCAGACTGTCCCTGGCAGCTGGCAGCATGGCTCCGGTGACCTGCTCCCTGAGCTCAGACTGCAGCCAGCCCTGCCTCTGCCCGCTGGCGCGGGGCCCAGGGCTGGCTCCCGTGAGTGGGGGGCATTTAGGAAGGAGGGAGGGACCTCAGGTTCTCCCTCACCTTCCCCTTGGGCGGTGGAGGCATCTAGAGACCCGCACTCCCCAGCTTAGCCGAGCACCTGGGCTGGGCCGGGCCTCACAGAGGCGGAGGGGACGTGGATACACCTGGATGACGAGGGCCCCGCAGGCCAGGAGGCTTGGCCCAAGGAGGCAGAGGACGGGCCTGGGCAGCCCTGGAGCCCGCCCGGGCCTGGCTGTCCTCACTGACCCGGAGGGCGGCCTGCTGGGAGCCAGGGGCCTGAGAGCCCCTCAGAAGGCTGAAGCAGGAGGGAGCCTGCCGGGACCCAGCCCCGCCCCCGTGCAGGGTCCTTCTGTCCGCTGCTGCCCTTTGTTTGGGGAAAATCCCGTCCCCTTAGGTTTGGGAGAGTAAAACGCAGCTCAGTGGGAACAGAATCGGGGTTTGGTAAGTCGCAGCAGCTGTTCGGATCTGGCTGTTTTGTGGTTGTGGTTCTGCCTGGCTCAGGCCCTGGTTGCTGAGGGAGGATTAGGTTAGACCTGGGGAAAGCGGGCGCCTGCTGTCAGGGCTGGGAAGGGCCCCACCCCCCAGCTCCCCTCACTTCCCCTTTCCTGGGAGAGAATGTTCTGGAAAATGCCCTCGAGCTGTTGCCTTGTGGAGATGACTGAGTGCTCTTCCCTCCCTGCATCCCTTCCTGCCAGTCTGTCTTCTCCTGGAGCAAGGGCGGGGGGGGGGGGGGGGGGGGGGGAGTGGGGGAGGGGGAGGGGAAGGCGGGCTGGGAGAGGGGGCGGGTGGGGGCGGGGAGAGGGAAGGTCAGGGGCAAGAGACCGCCTGGGGGAGCTGCAGCCACAGCCACCCTGGGCTCCCGGGAGGGGGCTCCCGAGCCGTCCAGGTGTGGGCTTCGGACGTGGAGAGGGTGGTCTGAGGGCTCCAGCCTCCCCACCCGGCGCCCCTCCCCCTGCCGATGGAGGCAGCCGGCCCCCAGCCTCTGCTCTCCGCCACCCCTTTCACTCACAGGGTATTTTTACTTTTCCCTTTTCCCTGGTTCCTGTTTCATGATCAAAGGAAGGAGGGAGGCTGGGAGAGGCGGCGGTTTGCTCAGCTCTTTGAGAAGCTCGGAAAAGGCAGCCTGTGGGCCCCAGGAAGGGGGGCCCGTCTCTGGGGAGGGAGGCTGGGGCATCCACCAGCGAGGGCAGGACCTGTCCATGGGCTCCTGATTCTAATCCTGCAGGTATTTGCCTCACTGAGGTCTCCTTCCCCATACGGATGTGTCCTTTCTGTGTGTGTGTGTGTGTGTGTGTGTGTGTGTGTGTGTGTGTACCCTGGCCAGCCACAGGTGCCCAGGCTGCAAGGAGAAGCCAGCGTGAGCCCTCGGGATCAGGGCCTGCCGGCTGCCATGTTGGGGCCTCCCGGCCTGAGTGCACGCAGTCTGCCCCGATGCTCCAAACCCCGTGTCAGGAGAACCCAGCCTGAGCCCCGGGCCGCCAGAACTGGGCGTGGCCGTGTGGTGGCCTGGCAGGGGCCTGGGCAGTCTGCACAGGCTCCGTGTCCCTGGGCTCCGTGTCACCGGCTGAGGTTCAGTGCCTCAGCCTCCTCCTCTGGGTGTTAGGGACAGAAGTATCCCCTAGGCCCATGGTCGGCAAACTGCGGCTCTCGAGCCACATGCGGCTCTTTGGCTCCTTGAGTGTTCTAAGGCCACTTCTTCAAAATAGACTCTCCCTGGCCGAAAGCCGACTTCTGCCACAAAAGTTCAATCGCACTGTACGTATGCGCCCGCACGTGGTGTTTTGTGGAAGAGCCCCACGCAAGGGCCAAAGAGCCGCATGTGGCTCTCGAGCCGCAGTTTGCCGACCACGGCCCTAGCCCATAGGGAGGTGAGCATTGCCTGAGGAGGTGTAAGCAAAGCGCCTGGCACACAGGAGTAAGTTGTCATTCGCTGTCACTTCTCCTCGGGGCACTGTTGGCATTCGGACAAGACAGCGTTTCATTGTCCAGGCTGTCCCCACGGCATCTCTGACCACTGCCTGGATGCAGGCTAGTAGGAGATTCCCTCTCATCATCGTGATAATTGGAAATGCCCCTGCATTTTCCTCCAGCCCACCCATTTCACAGATTTTGAAACTGAGGACTCTCCAGGGGACATGCCGGCAGGGCTGTGGCCTCTGTCTAAGCCTTCTCTGGTTTCTCTCTCCGAATAGCCTAGTATTGGCACCGGCAACTAGGTCCCCACATCCTCTCCGTCCCCACCACCACCTGGGAAAGAGCGCTGATGAGCTCACACGGAGGTGTGAGCGATGGTGACAGCTCCATTCAGCTGCAGCCACCCCCTCTCCTGCATTTTAGCAGCTCTTACGCCTCCCCAGAGCAGACGCCCAGCCCTAGGTCACGGGGTCCTGGCTTCAGGCGTGCGGGTGGTACTGGGGAGCTCTCCTGCGGGTGCCCGCAGGGCTCGGTGTGCCTGGCGCTGGCTCTGAGCCTGGTGCTGTGTGCCTGTGGAATGCCGCTGGGCTACGGGCTCACCTGCAGAACGGGGCTGAGAAAACCCACAGCGTGTCCTTGTCCTCAGGGAGCATTTTGGTGAGGGGTGAGATGGGAGTGCCCGGAGGTGCTTGCCAGAGAGACCCAGGAGCTGAGGCTGGACTCCCGGGTCTGTACCCTCCTGTCCTCCCCTGTCCAAGAACTGGAGCAGTCGGCCTCTGTGGGGGACTTACAGGTGAGGGCGGGGGGGTGGCCCTGAGACCACATTCTCCTGGGAAACCTAATCCAAACGCAAGCCCTTCTTCCAAATGGCGAGGGAAACCGAGGCACACACCGGGCAGGTGGCTTCCTGGTCTTCACTTGACAGGCTCCTGAGGAAGGGGCCTGGGTTGGCGCTCCAGCCCAGCCCTGACTCAGCTCCCAGCATCCTCCCCGTGGCCTCCTCAACGGAGGGGAGGGAGGCTTGTCTTTGAGCAGGAGGCTGGGGAGGGAGGGAACCCCAGGGGAAATTAGCCCAAATTAGCAGAGAGATGAGGAAGAGCTGGTGTGCTCTCCTCTACCCTGGCAGATAAATATTTAATCACAACAACAATAATAATGACGATGATCCTAATAGTGTGCAGTGGCTCCGGCCGTAACCGGAGCCCCACTCTCAGAGGAAGGAAGTAGGGGAGAGAGAAGGAGCCGTGGAGAGACAGAGAGAGAGATGGGCAGAGAGAAGGAGGGGGAGGGAGGCTGGCTTCTCACTCAGGAGGCCCAGGGTTTGCTCTCTGCCTGGGGTCGCTGGGTGGCTGGGGTGGAAACGGGAAACAGGAGGGTCCACCCCTGAGGCAGGAGGAGAATCCTGACCCCCCACTTCTCCACAGCCCTCAGAGGAGCAGCTCCCAGCCGATTCCTTCTCCAGGGGCCCCCTTTGGCCTTCCTTGTCTCTCAGTCCCAGGAGCCTGAGTGTGTGGCCCCAGAGCTGGGAGGTGGGAGGTGGGAGGTGGGAGCTGGGTGCTGGGAGCTGGGAGCTGGGAGCTGGGTGCTGGGTGCCGGGTGCCTGGAGCTGGGTGCTGGGAGCTGGATGCTGGGTACTGTGAGCTGGGTGCTGGGAGTTGGGAGCTGGGTGCTGGGAGGTGGGAGCTGGGTGCTGGGAGCTGGGAGCTGGGATCTGGGTACTGGGTGCTGGCAGCTGGGTGCTGGGTACTGTAAGCTGGGTACTGGGAGCTGTGAGCTGTGAGCTGGGTGCTGTGAGCTGAGTACTGTGAGCTGGGTGCTGTGAGCTGGGTGCTGTGAGCTGGGTACTGTGAGCTGGGTGCTGGGGCTTGGTGCTGGGAAGTGGGAGCTGGGAGGTGGGAGCTGGGTGCTGGGTGCCGGGAGCTGGGGCTGGGTGCTAGGCAATGTTCTGCTGGTCACTACCTGTGTGACTTGGGCAAAATGCTCTCCTGCTCTGGGCCTCAGTCTCCTCATCTCTAAAACGGGCTGCGCCCAGTGGGACTGGCTTCTTGCTTCTCTGACACGTGGCAGAGTGTTGGGGAAGGCCCTCGTCCTCCCTAGCCAGTCCAGGCTGTCCCTGGGGCGCGTGCTCACTGATGCCCAGGCTCCTGATGGCAGTGGGTACAGGCCTCAAGAACTGTTCAAACATGACCCAGTTTCTGCCGTAAGCTCTCCCATTTGACTCAGGTTGAGCAGCAGCCAGGAGGAAACCGAGATGAGATTTGGAGTCTTTGGCGATAACTCCCAGCGTCTCCTCGCAGGATCCTGATGAGAGATCAGAGCAGCTGATGTCTTCTTCAGGCTTCTGTTTGATTCTCTCTTTCTCTCTCCCTTCGAAGGTTGGTAGGAGGGGAACATCGGAGCGGTTTTCTCTTTGATGCCAAGACACGCCGAGCTAGGAGCACCTCCTCTGTCCGGTCATCCGCCGAGAGCAGGCCTGCAGGACGTGGGCACCGAGGCCAGAGCCCGGCCGCCCAGTGGCCGCTCCCCGCCGCCTGAGGGCACGGCCTGAACGGCGAGGAGCACCGGCATGGCTCACCCCGTCGGCAGCCCTCAGCCGCCCCGCTGCTGAAGCCACCCCGGAGAGCCTGCTCCGCTCATGCTCACCCAGGCTGGGGGGCCAGGGGCCGGCCAGGGCTAGGAGTGGGGCTGCTGTCCATGGATCTCTAGAGGTTCCCAAGATGCCGGGGAAGAGAGGCTGGGGCTGGTGGTGGGCCCGGCTGCCCTTCTGCCTGCTCCTCAGCCTGTACGGCCCCTGGGTGCCTTCCTCGCTGGGGAAGCCCAAGGGCCACCCCCACATGAACTCCATCCGCATCGACGGGGACATCACCCTGGGGGGCCTGTTCCCGGTGCACGGCCGCGGCTCGGAGGGCAAGGCCTGCGGGGAGCTGAAGAAGGAGAAGGGCATCCACCGGCTGGAGGCCATGCTCTTCGCCCTGGACCGCATCAACAACGACCCGGACCTGCTGCCCAACATCACGCTGGGCGCCCGCATCCTGGACACCTGCTCCCGGGACACCCACGCCCTGGAGCAGTCGCTGACCTTCGTGCAGGCGCTCATCGAGAAGGACGGGACGGAGGTCCGCTGCGGCAGCGGCGGCCCTCCCATCATCACCAAGCCCGAGCGCGTGGTGGGGGTCATCGGTGCTTCCGGGAGCTCCGTCTCCATCATGGTGGCCAACATCCTCCGCCTGTTCAAGGTTAGTGGCCGCCGGTTCACTCCGGAGGTTTCTTCCGCAGACACGGTGCCGGGCCCGGCCAGCTCCCTTCTCCTCTTCCCTTCCCGACTCCAGAGGGAAGGATTTTTTTTTCCCTTGGAGTCTATCTGAACACTCGGGGCCTGTCCTGTGCAGAGAACAGGCCCAGCGGAGGGAAGGTGTCGGGGGCGGGCCCCAGCCCGGTGGTGCTGACCGGGGTGCTGAAACAGCACCTGCCGCTGGCAGCTCCTCGATCAATTCCCCTCCGCGGGGAATTCCGAACTAAGAAGGGAAAAAGGAAGCGCCTGTGAGCAGCGGAAGGGAGGAGGAGATTTGCAGACCGATATAGAGAAAGACAGACAGATAGAAAGGTAGACAGGTGGAAATAGGACAGTCTCCAGAGAGGAAAGGAAGACTTGTTTTGACATTGTTTTCAGATAATCGCAATTCCCAAGAAAGATGTGTTTTTCTTCTGGGTGCGTGGCCCTCCCGCTCCCCCCGAGATTGTGGTGAGAAAATGTGTGACTGGGCGCGGGGCCCTGAGCCACAGAGCGTGGGGATGAGGATGGGAGAAGGCCTGGAGAAGCGGGCGGTCCCTGTGCTGGTGCCCTTGGCCCTGAACCAGGCCTCCCTCCCTCATTTCCTTCCTCTGCCCTTCCTCCTCGCACACCTTTCTCCCTTTCCTTCTGGAATCCCTCCCTGCCAGCCCTTCCTCTCTTCCTGGGGCAGGAGCTGCTGATTTGCAATTCAATTGGAGCCAAGTGCTTTGCTAAGCTGGTAAAGCGACTGAAAGCTACCGGGTAGAGAGAAAAACATTACCAGCATTTTACCCGTAATTACGTGCCTGCTCCTCTCTCAGAGCCTCCTTGTTCGCCCTTTGTTTGTGTGTGTGTACATGTGCATGTGTGTGTGTGTGTGAGAGAGAGAGAGAGAGAGAGAGGAAGAGAGAGAGGGAGGGAGGGAGAGTGAGAGAGAGAGGAAGAGAGAGAAGGGAGGGTGAGGAGGAAGGGATGCAGAGAGGAAGCCATTGGGTCTCTCCTTCACTCTGGTGTCAGATTCTCAGCCTCTGGATGGTCTGGCTCCTTCTCTCCTCAGTCTCCAGAGTTAGGGGTTGGATTGAGAGAGGCTGTTGGCCCCAAGGTGGGAGCACTGAGCCTGGAGCCCTCTCTTTTACCCGTTCTGGAACCCATTGCCCAATCCCAGCATGCACCAGTCCTCTGTGTTGTGGGGGCTGGGCGATGTGGGGATGAACGGTGCCGGAGATCCCTGTGCTGGGGCTGGGGGCGGGGCTGGTGGGAAAGAGGAGGCTCCAGAAGCCCTGTCCCGCATGGGCAGGGTGGGAACTTTGCATGGGCTGGCGTGGGCCCCTGTGCCATGCGGTTCTCGGCTTTGCACCTTCTTCTTGGTTTTACTCCGCGATCCAGATGAAAACACTATTCTCATCTGAGAACAAGTGGGTGCGTTGTGAAGAATGGGCACAAAGATGAAGGATGTAGGAGACTTGGAGGAAAGCTGCCCTCGCCCAGGACAGTCTGAGCAGGCACTGGGCGGTGGCTGCTCGGCCGTTCCTTGGTGGGCAGTCTGGGAGTGGTAGTTTGGTCCAGCCCTTCCGCCTGCCTGCGTTAGCAGCAAGGCTGGGAGACCCACAGTGGGCGGGCCAGGGCTTGGCTGTCCCGGCTGGGCCTGGTGATGGTGTGGGCATCCTGAGGGCTCACATCAGCCTGCCTGCCATGGAGGTGAGGCCTGGGTCATCTGGCAGAGGGGGCAGTCCCCGGGCTGCTGTCAGCCTGTCTGGGCGGGACACAGGCCCGAGCCTGAGGCCGGTGCTGGGGTGGGGCTGCGGCAGCTCCCGTAGCTGGGCTTTTGTCACACTCGGTTTGCAGAAAGATGGTGAAACAGCCTGCATGGGCCTTGGGACTGTGGCATGGGCCAGGGTCCCTCCGACCATCTCCTGAGGGGAGGCCACGCCCACAGTAGAGGGAGGTGGAAGGCCAGGAAGTTGAGAGGTGACACGGCAAAGGCTCTCAGAAAGGCCACTGTCCGCGTTGGACCTTACGGCGTGTTCCTGGGAACATGGGTGTTTTGGGACGAGGGGCCCGGCCTGCCCTGCGGGGTGGGCCGTGGCTTCTGTGCTAACTGTTCCCAGGATGGGGAGTGCCGGGCGGGTGATGGGGCCTGGGGCCACGGTGCTCCCCAGCCTTCTCCTCTGCTCATCCGGCCACAGAGCCTGTGCCTCCTCAGGTTGCAGAGAGACGAGTGGGTTGGGTGGGGACCAGGGCCCCCGGCCAGAGGAGGGACAGGTGAGACAGGGAAGGAGGGGGTGGGGAGGGAGCCAGAGGGAGAGGATGGCTGTGGTCTGCCCTCCCGGGTCCCTTTTCACAGTGTTAATGTTCCCGGCTGGCGACAGGAAGGCTCCTCAATAATTAAGCGGAGAGACATGAGAGTCTGGGCGAGAAACTTAAAAGCCATTTGCAGAGGGAGAAGGTTGAACTTTGGGGAGGGAGGTCAGGAGCAGGAGCCCCAGGCAGGAGAGGATGGGGAGGGCCTGGGGAGCTGCCAGGGCAGGCGGGCATCTATTACAAAGAGCACCGTGTGGTCCCAGCCCAGCTCCGCCCCACCATGGCCATTCCCGGGCCTGCTGGGAGCTCCTCCGGAGGCTGCCTATGGCTCTTTCTCCTCCTCCAGGTGGACTTCCTGTGCGGCTCACAGCAGAGCTCTGGCTCCGGGGCTCCAGGGTGGCTTCCTGCCTAGAGGACACTAACGGGGTGCAGTCCGGGTGTGAACAAAGCTCAGAGCTGGCAGAGCCGGGAGGGGCCCGTGCCCCACCCTGCAGATGGGGAACAGCCCTGCTTGGGTGCAGGCAAGGCTGGGAGTCAGGTTCCACTCCCGGGCCTCACTCCTTGCAGACTGCCTCCCCGAACAAGCCGGGCTGGACATGGGATCCGCCCCAGGCCTTCCGGGATTGGAAGCCCTGACTTTGGGAAGTCATGCCATCTGACAGCTTCCCTCGCGAACCTCCCTGCTCCCACCCCTCCCCCCTTCTCCTTTTGGCCCTGTTCTCCCAGGGGAGGGGATGTGATGGATGTGAACAATACCTTTTGGAGGCGATCGATCCTAAGCCCAAGATGTGGCCTGTACAGTGCTGTGTTGTGGGGACAGCCCAGGCTCTAGTCTAGAGCCAGGGAGGCCTGGGTTTTATATATACTAGAGGCCTGATGCACGGAATTCCTGCAGGGGGCTCGGTGCCCGCCGCCGCCTCTGCCTCGGCCCCCATCATTGCGGCTTCGTCTAGAATAGGGGTGTCGAACTCAATCAGAGAAGGGGCCAAAATCTAAAATCCAGCCTAAATCGCGGGCCGAATGGTTTACTGAACAGTCATAAACTGTCATTGTGATGGAAACGCAGCGGAGTGCAGTGATGACAGCGCGGTGCGGGCCACATTGCAAGGCCTGGCGGGACGGATTTGGCCCGCGGGCCTTGTGTTTGACACACGTGGTCTAGAAGGTCATCCTGAAGAATGTCCGGTCTAATTAGCATATTATGCTTTTATTATTATAGATATATTTTATTGAATTCAAAGAGGAAGGGAGAGAGTTAGAGAGATAGAAACATCAATGATGAGAGAGAATCTTTGATTGGCTGCCTCTTGCACGCCCCCTACTGGAGATCGAGCCTACAACTCAGGCATGTGCCCTTGATCAGAACTGAACCTGGGCCTCCTCAGTATGCAGGCCGACGCTCTATCCACTGAGCCAAACTGGCTAGGGTGAGGCCTGGGTTTGAATCTCTGTTCTGCCAGTTACCTCACCATATCCACTCACTGTATCAGTCATTTACACCATAGTGTGAACGAGCCAATAATATCCTTTCCTGAGAGCAAACATTGTTGTGGGGAGAAGAACATACACTAAGTGCCTCAGAAGGAAGCACTTGTCAAATCCTGGTCCTGTAAGAGCACAGAGGGATCCAGAAACCATTTCACCGAGTCCCTTACTCATTTCACAGTGGCAAAAAGCAAAGGCTTGAGGAAGGGGAGAGTGCACAGGATGCTGGCTAAGGATTTGGACGCTGGAGCAAGCCGGCCTTTGCCACCTTGGCAAACTGTTTAGTCTGTGTGTGCCTCAGTTTCCTCGTTTGTAAAATGGGGATGACAGTGGTCTCTTAGACCAGGTGTGGGAATTAAGAGTTCATGCCCGCAGAAGGCCTCGCGCAGCGCCTGGCACACAGTCAGCCCGCAGGAAATGTCACGGCACAGCGTGTAGCTGGCCTGAAGTCAGCACGGGAGACGCGTCCGGGCGGAAGAGGCTGGAGCGGGTGGGCAGGGACAGACGGTGACCTTTGAGGCTGATCCCGGAGAGGCCCCGCCATCTGCTGGGCCTCTTGTGTCTCCCTGCAGAGTGTTGAGACTGAGCAGCCAACTTAACTTTTGGCTAATGAGAGTGTCATCGCTGTGGCCACAGTGGGGTGGAGTGGAGTGGAGGGAGGGCATGGAGGAACCGGCGGCAGAGAGGATGGAGGGAATGCCAGCGAGCGGGTGGGGGTGGGGGGCGGGGGCAGGCGCCCTGCTTCCCAGGAGAGGCCTGGCTAGGATGCTGGTGACTGACATTCGCACTCTGAGCACCATCCCCCGCCCCCGCCCCTCAGCCAGCCTGGCCTTGCGAGTCCTCTGGTCCCACCCGGCCCAGACATGCTGGAAAGGCTCATGGCTGCTCCAGAGAAAGCTGCTGCCTGGCGCTTGGCTGCTCTGCTCCTCAGCGCCGGCCCAGGCTCCCGGGGATACTTTGCGGCTTCGCTAACACCAGCCATTCTGTTGAGGACGTGGGTTTTGTGTCTTCCAAGTATTTTTGCTGCACAACGAAGAGGAACTTTCTAGAGAGCCCTGCCTCTCCTCCCCAGCCTGGCCGTCTTCCCGGAAGACAGCTCCACCCTCCCAGTGCCCGGCCGACACGCCTGGCCGCGCTTGACCACCCTCTTCCTACCGTCCCAGCCTCTCCTCGGAGCGT